TTCGTTATGATAGTATATTGATGATTGCGATAAATGAAGACTCATTTTTGTCTTTATTTTGATACATAAGAAATTCCCTTTTGAATCTGTCGCATAAGAAGGCGTTTAAAGTTTGTCTTTCTCACTTAGGGCTTAAAAAGCACTTGGCGGCAGTCCTGAAGTTAACATTGTTAGGCCTTGACTTGCTTGTGCAACATTTTAGTCTGTTGTTTGGCAGGTGATATTTTTTCACAAACAAATGTCCTCGGCATGGCTACACCAAATGTCTTGTTCTGCACACAACTGTAATATAAATCTAAATTGACTGAACTAAAATTTGGTCATTTCGTGCAATAACTTTATATTTAATTTAAGGGATTTTATTTTCACGTGTTCTTTTTTGCGATTAAAGGATCTTTATCAGATTCCTCAAACAACCCGAAACCCGGCACGTGAATCAGCTTCTACGGTATCTGTGGAGGAAAATCATACGATCTCAAAACTACTTCCTGCCACTTACCACCGTCCTTCAGCAGTAACCGTCTCCAACCACATCAGTAACTTAAATGGCAAGGAGCACAGAAAGAGAATAGAAGCAACCGTCCAACATCCTCAAAAGCAACGATTCGCCTCGCCTAGCAACCTTATTCCTATTAGAGAGCTATCAAATGCCGAGTCGCCCAGAGTCAAAATTCGTTCAGGACTCAATATATCCTCGAATGCGCAGTCGCACAACAGAGAAAATAGCAATGCAATAGTACATAATTATGTCAGGAGTAGGTACAGAATGGGCAGCAAGGCCTCTGTGAATTCATCTACGGCTCCCATCGAAACTATGCCTAGTACCATGCCCAATATTTCAAGTGACTCTGGTTGCTGGCCTGATGGTAACTTGAGTTTTCATCCTAACCATACAACTCATTCAGATCATGTGATATCAACCTCTATCACTGTCCCAGTATCAAGCCAGTCAGCGGTGATAGGGCCTCGAGTGCGTAGGTTGCCAGGACAGAGCACAAAGTCGACCAAACACGGCGCTCTGCGTATCATGGCGGAACAGACGGGCAACGTTAACGAGAATGTCAGAGTTCAGTATGGAAGTGCTTCTGTGTCACATGACGAAAACATGAGAATTGTGAATTCTGGGCATCCGAAGATAACAAGGCTGAAACACATTAGACAGGTGAGAAGGGTTCATCTGATAAAGTTGCAAGATAGTAAAGACACTTACATTCAGGAAGCAAAAGTTTGCCGATATGATATAGCCTGTATGACGTTCGGTGTAAACTGGTATTCAGGGGTTGTCCCAGTCATAGCATAAGGAGACCTGATTGAAATCAACATGACTTAACCGTAATGTTGAAAAGTGCAGTTTTCAGCAGATTCTTTCAAACTTGCTCAGTAATTACTAGGCATTTCTAACAAAGCCCATTAATGGAACCATCTAATCTAAAAATCTACTTTGTATTTGCTCAACTTAGCTTCCCTAATTAGACATTTTAAAAGAAATGAACGTGTCATTTTTATTTAAATTCGTGCTGTTACTTAAGCATTATAAGTAGCCTGATGTAAAATATCCGTAAATTTAACTTGTGTGGAAGTGGCTTGGTATGGTGGTCAAGGCCTGATTGTTTATTTATAGCGTTGCGTGACAATATAATTTTTGCTTTGTTAGGTGAAAAGGATTAAAAAAAATCCATAATAAAATTGCCTTGCAGTTGTGACAGTTAGTTTGGGCGATCGTTTAAGCATTTTTGAACTAGCCACTTTACTATTCTTATTTGGTACATCGAAATGTCTAGCATTTAGAGAGCGACCTGTAATTCAAGATAAATTTTAGTCTAAACGGTTATATTTTTTCTCGATGTCATTTTTCTCAATTCTTTAAGCAGGATTTTGACTATTTCTTAGAAATATTACAAGGGTAGTGTCCGATGTTATTTTTGATAGACTTAACATTTCTAGCCTATAAATTCTTTCTTTAAAAGACTCATTATTATTTTTTTTTCATTATTTTGATTCGATAAATTCTATTGTACCTTAAATTGCTTATCTTTTATCTGCAGAAATGACCTATGCCACAATGCATTAAGCATTTTTCAATACGATAATAATGTA